TTCCTAAGTAAAATAGCACTCGGCTAGAGGTAAAGTCCGGTGTAATTAGTTTGACAGCATGTAAGGTCGCATTCACACCAGCCTTGTATAGTCAAGTTGAATCAAACCCTGGTGCGTTTACCCCCTTGGTGCGGTTCGTTTGGGTTAATGTGAAAGCAGTCCGAGACCTCTGAAGTGAACTAAACAACTGGACTCCTGTCCACTTAAAAGAGGTGGTATCGGACCGCTTGCAAGTGAAATCTGGAGCGGTTCATCGCTGGTGTGAACGCAGTCCGCACCAAAACACAGGAAGTGTAGTATTTACGAGTCACAAGAACGCGGATGTCTTCAAAATCCCCTTAATGTCTGACCAATTGTTGAACAGGATTTCCGTGCAGATGACTTGTGTTTAAAGTGTATAGTCTGTTTGAGTTTTCCCTGTGTGAATGCAAACCGAACCTTCTGAAAAATGAAACAATGTAACAAATTGTCGTCTGGTGCTCACCAGAAAAGCGGACTATTAGGTGTGAATGCGACCTAAGTATTGGGGGGATAGCTGTCTGGCTCGGTTATGGGATGTACCCCTGACACCAGGTGAGAGGTCCCGGCTTAAGATCCCGGACAAATAAAGTTTGATTTGATTTGATTTGATGAGCGGTCAACTTGGGAAAGTCTGGTCTTGATATTAAATCAGGAAAAATGGGAAAAGTCTCATTAGCTAGTGGATTAAGGTTGAGAAAGGCATGCAAGGAGAGGTACCTGAATCTGCTCAAAAGCCTGACCTGAAGATTTCTAAATACATCTGACTTTGGTTTAATCCAGGTGTTTACTTTTGCTTATTGCTATAGTGAGATAGTAGTGGATCACTCAAGTAACCATTAAAGGGATTATTAAAGTTATCACTGTGATCCAAATGATAACAGTGACAGTATGCCAACGCCACAGTCAAAGCAAATCATTGGAACATGCTTCCACACCCATGTTGACTTAAGGTAATTGACATGCTGTTACAATGACACTGAAATGTAATTCTCATGATTTATGTCTGTCATGGTCAGAAGTTATATTGAGAAAGGGCTGTCAGGGGCACAGAGGCGTTAAAGAACGCTGCGGCATATCAAATGATGTGCTTCCTATATTTTGACTTTTGGCAAGCCGTCATACGAAATGATACAATATACTTTATTGTCCCTGTAAGGAAATTTGTTCTGGACTCTGTCCTGCAGTTCCACATACATGTACGTATACAAACATTAAAACACATTAACATATCATCACTCATACAACGTTTGCACAAACACAATACAGAGGCGCACCTATTGACAATGGTGACCTATTGCACAATCCTAATGGCCATCTTGAACCAGTCTGGCAATTGTCTTCTGACCTCTGGCATCAACAAGGAATGTTGCGCCCAGAGAACTGCCGCTCACTGGATATTTTCCCTTTTTCTGACCATTCTCTGTAATCCCTATGGTTGTGCGTGAAAATCCCAGTAGTTCAGCAGTTTCTGAAAAACTCAGACCAGCCTGTCTGGCATCCAGTGGCGGCGCCAGAGCATTTTTGTTGGGTAATCTATGGTAGGGCTAACCCATACAGTGGTGGTGCTCAAATCAGTATTTGAAATGTAATTACATACACGCTATATCGCCCCCCTTGACAGTGAAACGCCACGCGTGAGGTTTAGATTATTTCCCTGTCTCAATCAAAATGGAACTGTATGAAATAAAACGGCACATTTGTCTTGTAGTAAATAAAAAGGGATCACTGTGAACGTGACGTATGATAGTACACGTTGAAGATCCAATGGGGATACTGAATGGCGGTTTCGATTGATCTCAATCAATAAGGCATGACGCAGATCCAACGTTGCGTTGCTCTGATTGGCTGTAGGTCTATTCAAATTGCATTCGGAGGCATTTTGATCTGACCACGGCCGCGCTGATATTATAACGCCAGAGAATTTCCACACCTTTAGTGTATAAAACTCCCCCACTACTTAGACTATTCCTTGCACCCCTCTTATAGCATAGGCCCGAATGGTCTCAACCATATTGCATCAGTAACGTGCACTTGTTGTTACAGCAGGATCAGTTTGTGTGCTGTGGACACGACCCGTATATTTTCGCAATCCGTGTTCTCAACATTTAGCATTTCGCTTATTATTTAATTGAATTTGCATCACTTTTCATGGTGGGGCTAAGGTGGGGCTAAGCCATTTCTTGGTATGGCTGTAGCCTACCCCAGCCATACCCTGGCGCCGCCACTGCTGGCATCAACAACAATGCAACATTCAAGGTAACTTAAAGGGGACCTATCATGCAAAATGCACTTTTGTACGTCTTTTATACATGAATATGTGTCCCCGGTGTTCCAGGGAACTCACCAAGTGTCAGAAAACACAACCCTCTCTATTTTCCTCCATACCCAAATCTCTAAAAAAGGGGCTGCAACGGATCTGATAAAAACTGATCCAGATTTGAACACTGTCCTGACGTCAGGACAGTGGCGCTACGGCTATTGGGCCAACTCCACCAATCAGGAGGAGACAACCACGGCATTGCCGTTCGAAAGCGCTGGAGACGTTGTAGTACATATGCCAGGCCTCTAGATGGTGCTGTTGCTCACAGAATCAACCCTTGCTAAAACAGATCTAAAAAAATGTCAAATTGAGCAAAATGAGGCATGGCTAAAATGCATGATCTGTTTGGTATTTTAAAAAAAAAAAAGTATAAATATGCCTTATATAGGTATGGTCCTACACTATATTATTCAAATATAGCATGATAGGTCCACTTTAAATCACCTTTCTTCCCCATTCTGATCCTCTGTTGAACTTCACCAGGCCGTCTTCACCATGTCTACATGCCTAAATGCATTGAGTTGTTGCCATGTGATTGGCTGATTAGATATTTGCGTTAACGAGCATTTGTAAAGGTGTACATAATAAAGTGGCTAGTGAGTGTGTGTATATATATATATACATATACAGTACCAGTCAAAAGTTTGGACACACCTTCTCATTCAATGGTTTTTGTTTATTTGAATTTGTTTCTAATACTGAAGACATCAAAACTATGAAAGAACACATATGGAATTATCTAGTTAACAAAAAAGTGTTAAAAAATTCAGAATATGATTTTTATTTTAGATTCTTCAAAGTAGCCCCCTTTTGCCTTGAAGACAGCTTTGCATACCCTTGGCTTCTCTCAGTCAGCTTCATGAGGTCGTCACCTGGAATGGTTTTCAATTAACACGTGTGCCTTATCAAGAGTCAATTTGTGGAATTACTTGCCTTCTTAACAGGCCCGCCCCCTCCCTACACGCAGATCACGCCTCATCACATAACTTTGTGTGGGGCCACAAGTTGGCCAGGGGCGGGCGGCCCTGCTTCTTAATGTGTTTGAGACCATCAGTTGTGTTGTGCAGAGGTAGGGTTAGTGCACAGTGGAGAGCCCTATTTGAATACTGTTGTGATCCATATTATGGCAAGAACGACTCAACTCAGTGAAGAGAAACGACCGTCCATCATCACTTTAAGAAATGAAGGCTAGTCGATCTGGAAAATGTAAAGAACTTTGAATGTATCCTCAAGTGCAGTCGCAAAAACCAAACACTATGACTCTCATGAGGACCCCCCCTGGAAAGGAAGAGCAAGAGTTACCACTGCTGCAGAGGATAAATACATCATAGTTACCAGCCTCAGAAACTGCAAATTAAAGCACCTCAGATTAGAGCCCACATAAATTATCACAGAGCTCAATTAGCAAACAATCTCCACATCCACTGTTCAGAGGAGACTTCGTGAATCAGGCCTTCATGGTCCAATTGCTGCAAAGACGCCATTACCGAGGATTAACAACAAGAATAAGATAATTGTTTGGGCCAAGAAACACAAGGATTGGTCATTAGACAGTGGAAATCTGTACTTTGGTCTGATGAGTCCAAATTTGAGATTTTTGGTTCCAACCGCCGTGTCGTGTGAGATGCATAAAAGCTGAGCGGATGGTTTCTGCATGTGTGGTTCCCACCAGGAACCATGGAGGAGGAAGTGTGATGGTGTGGGGCGGCTTTGCTGGTGTCACTGTTGGTGATTTATTCAGAATTCAAGGCATACTTAACCAACATGGCTACCACAGCATTCTGCTAATGCCAGCTAAATATAAATCATATTCTGTTTTTTTTTAACACTTTTTTGTTTACTAGATAATTCCATATGTGTTCTTTTATAGTTTTGATGTCATCAGTATAAATCTACAATGTAGAACAAATTAAAATAAATAAAAAACTTCGAATGAGAAGGTGTGTCCAAACTTGAGACTGGTAGTGTATATATTAGAATATCTTTACTCATGTATACATTCAGATATTCAGCTGTCCAGTGTTTTACCTCATGTTATGTTATAGTTCTTATTTCTATCAAACTGTTACTTCTATGTTTACTCTTATATGTATTCTTATTATCCCTGTGCGAACTCTGTACCGACCTGTGTTTCACTCTTATTCTTTTCATGCTTTAACACCTGAATTTCCCTAAGGGTTTCAAAAACGTTTCTTACCTTGGAAGGTTTTTGAGTTTTTTTTTGTTTTTTTTACCTGCGAACAGTTCAACCTTCATGAATCCAGAATGTTGTATTGTCCACAAATATAAACATAAATGCTCAAAAAGTATTGCATGGTGTTCATGATGATGTAGTATGGTATGTTATTGTTTTGGCCACAGCTGACGTTAAATTGATAGAACTTTTTTCTGAATATTGGACATCAGTATAGTCAGAGCCTCCTTAGCAATGTTCTACTATTTTAAAAGATAACTGACGTTATTGTCGAAATTGACCAATAAGAATAAAGTATTGAACTAAGCTGTGAAATAAGGAGACTGTAATGTCTCTCATAATAGTGAGTGGAAATGAACACTATTTCCCAATTACTTTGATGGTTCTCAACTAATGAGAAAACGATCAAATAACAGTACCATCACCGGTTTATGAAAAATGTAGAAAATAAGAAATAAAGAAACATTGAGCTTTCAGTTATGCTTTAATTGATTGGATTGCTGGTCAGCTTCAGCATCATAGTACAGAGAGAGAAATACATGTTCAGGACAGACTGGTGTTAAACCGAAATATTGCTTAGCAGGGTGAATCAGTTTATTGATTAAATATTAAAGTGAATCAGAAGTGTCGATAAATCTTCAAAACAGTGATGTCATCGAGGCCTGACATCCTGCTAGGAGTGACATCCTGACTGAAGATGTGACATCATCATTCCAGGGAGGAGGAACAGACAAAGGCTCGCCTGTCGCGACAAGATTGGTCGTTGACATAGTTTTGACCTGAAGACAAAGACAATGAATATGATGAATATAATAAAACACAAGCAAAGATGTATTGTAACGTCATGTTTTTAGTAAGCACTTTAAAAGGAATGATTAGCTTTATTTTATAATTCTCCTTAAAAGATTGTACGATGAATAAAGAGGACAACACATAACAGCGTATTTTTTACCTCTCCAGTTAATCTCCATGCAGTGTTCCTTTCCTCCTTTGTTGTTTGGCTCCCCCCTGCCCCAGCTTCCGAAGCTAAACTTAGAGCCATCGCTCCACAGCCACACTCCCTCCTGATAAAAAACATTACAAGTAATTTTCTGACTGATGTCTTCCTCTCAGGCTGAATAAACCAAAGGACAAAATCGACCTGTTTCATTAAAAAGTCTAAGGGCATTAAACGGTAAGTGACATGCGCCACATGCCCACTTTATTATCAGCAGTCTGCCTGAAGTTTTGAGATTAAAAAAGGTGGCTTATTGTTGGTTTCCCAAGCTTTATGTTGTAAAAGTATTTCTTATAATGGAGTTTACAGGCACAACCAAGTAAATAATCTCAGGGTGGTAGTCAAATGTTCACAAAGCCATTTCAATCCATTGTTTACTTAAATATACAAACCAGCAGAGATTGGAGCAAAATAACATTGTTGCAGTGCTTATATCTTTGATACAACAACATAATACATAAATCACTCACCCGAACAGCATCATGGCCTCCAACCCAAACATTTCGATTAGTCCTTGTAGCTGTTCTCACCACCTGTCGGATTTGGTTGTACTCGTGGGTCGATTGGATAGAAGCCAGATTCCCTCCGATGGCAATGCAATGTCTCTATGGAGGGGAAACAAAGTCAGTCGTTGTTGAGAACATGCCAAACATTAAGTGTGCCAGTTACTGCAATATTGTTGTCATTTTGAGTACCTCAGCAGAAGCCCAGTCCAATGTATGAGGCTTGTAGATGAAACAGCGAGAGCCATGCTTAGTCCAACCAGGGGGGCAGTTCTCACAATCTGGAATTGTCATGAAATTAATACTTAATTAATTGAGGGAGCAACAGAAGCAATGAATGCAGTATACAGATGATGTCCAATAGGATGCCATCTTAATTTGGCTGCAGTCAAAAATTGTTGGATGCTGTATTTTCACTCTATGATTAAAATAACAACCAACCTTTTTCCTCAGCTTTTGCCTGTGGATGTAAAGAACACATTATTAGGAATGACCAGGTTATGATTCATAGTTAAGCCATTGAACAATGATCTTAATAGATATAGTCTATTATTTTGTATTAATTACTTCCGTATTTTCTTTAGCTACGCATAACAAACATTACTTACCTCTGCCTCCATCCACAGTCCACTGGTCAAACAGAGGAGCACGATGCAGTAGACAACAGAAGCCATCTGTGTAAGGATCAGACATTTTACATTTTATATTTTACAATAACTTACAGTACCTTGAGTACATTTAACTTTTTTTACCAGAGTTCCCCTTGCAGCGGTCACAACTTCATAACATTTAATTTGTATCCTTAATTAATTGTATACAAGGTGTAGAGTCTAACTTTTACAGTTTTTATTTTTAAAACAACCTAAAGTACAAAACGCAACAAACTTTTACTGATATGTGCTGGGTCCAGGCTCAAGGGCATATGGCACTCTCAACTCTTTCCAGCACATGCCGGGGCCCTGCCTGCCAGTAGCTTTGCCGATATCTGTGTTGATAGGTAATAGATTAAGAGCGGTAAATCAGCTTAGAAACATGAAGTGCTCAAACGTTTGTGTGAGGTTATCAAATTTAGCAGTGATTCCATGTCAGCCACAGCTTGTCACAAAATGTTTTACTGATAGTGTATTTAACAAACTTAAACTAGCTTTATTAAATGTCAGGTCTTTGGCAGGAAAAACATTTTTAATCAATGATTTTATCACTGAGCACAATCTCGATTTTATGTTTTTAACGGAAACTTGGATTGAACAAAATAACAGTGCAGCTGTTCTTATCGAATCAACCCCTCCCAACTTTAGTTTTATGAGTCAGGAAAGAATGCATAAGAAAGGGGGTGGAGTTGCTATTTTGTTCAATGATTCCATTCAATGCAGGAAGACATCTTATGGGGACTTTGCTTCTTTTGAATATGTGGCCCTTCAGCTGAAATGCTCCTCTCGAGCTCTGTTCCTAAATATCTATAGACCACCCAAATACTGTGCAAGCTTTTTTGATGATTTTACTGAACTGCTGTCTATAGTGTGTATTGACTTTGACCGTTTAGTCATTGTTGGTGATTTTAACATCCATGTTGACAACCCCCAGGACAGAGGGGCTAAAGAACTGTTTTGTGTTCTTGATAACTACGGACTGACTCAGCATGTGGCGGAGCCCACGCACAATAAGGGGCACACTCTGGACTTAATTATCTCAAAGGGTCTGAATATCTCAAAGGTTGTGGTGACTGATGTTGCACTCTCTGATCATTCCTGTGTTTTCTTTGAGAGCTCTATTTCTGTTCACAAAAATGTTCAGAAAGAGGTAACCACAAAGCGATATTTAACTGAAAATACTAGGGAAATGTTTACTCATAATTTCTCATCCACACTTGCCCCTGCTAACATCTCAGTAAATGAGCTAGTAGATCATTTTAATTCAAAAATTAAAAATGTTATAGATACCATTGCTCCAACTAAGGTAAAGGAAGTGATTAGCAAGAAAATATCTCCATGGAGAAAGGCCATGACCGTGAGAACAGAAAAAAGAGAGTGTCGAAAAGCTGAACGTAGGTGGCGAAAAACAAATCTCCAGGTTCACTTTGAAATCTATAAAGAGAGACTTGGCCTTTATAATTTGGAATTGAAAAACGCACGACAGTCTTTCTTCTCTGACATCATTACCAAAAACAAAAACAACGCACGTGCCTTGTTTGCTACCGTCGACAGACTAACTAACCCCCCAGTGTCAGTAGCCTCTGAATTTCTATCCACCAGGGCGTGCAATGATTTTGCCTCCTTCTTCACTGACAAAATTCAGAAAATTAGACAAGCAGTCAGTGCCTCTACATCAGGTACAGCAAATGTTTTGTCCCTATGTCCACCTAATATCAATTCAAACACCATGACACAATTCCATCAGATTAATGGTAAAAACTTAGAGGACATTATTCAACTTCTGAAATCCTCCTCCTGCTGCCTTGATATTATTCCAACAGGATTTTTCAAAGATGTTTTTCCTTGCATGGCCTCAGATCTACTTCATATAGTAAACACATCTCTTCACTCAGGTATTTTTCCAGAGGCCCTGAAAACTGCAGTCATTAAACCGCTCTTAAAAAAGAATAATCTAGATGCCTCAGTAATGAACAATTACAGGCCAATATCAAACCTGCCATTTCTAGGTAAAATCATTGAAAAAGTAGTATTTCAACAGTTGAGTAACTTCTTGCATTTAAATAACTGTTTGGATGTGTTCCAGTCAGGATTTCGTCCAAACCACAGCACTGAGACTGCTCTTGTAAAGGTCTTCAATGACATCCACTTAAACACAGACAGTGGCAGAACTTCAGTGTTAGTATTATTAGATCTCAGTGCTGCATTTGACACTGTTGACCACAACATATTACTAGACCGACTAGAAAACTGGGTGGGACTTTCGGCAACAGTTCTAAATTGGTTTGAGTCCTACTTAAAGGACAGAAAAAACTTTATTTCTATAGGTAAATACACATCTGAGTTGACAAATATGACATGTGGGGTACCTCAAGGCTCCATCTTGGGGCCTCTTCTCTTTAACATCTACATGCTACCACTGGCTCAGATAATGAAAAACAACAAAATAAGTTACCATAGCTATGCGGATGACACACAAATTTACGTAACAATTTCACCAGGAGATTATGCTCCAATTCAAACACTGAGTAAGTGCATTGAACAAATCAATGACTGGATGTGTCAGAACTTTCTCCAATTAAACAAAGATAAAACTGAGGTAATGGTTTTTGGAGCCAAGGCAGAACGTATAAAAGTTAGCGCTGAGCTTCAGTCTGCAATGTTCAAAACAACAGATAAAGCCAGAAATCTAGGTGTAGTCATGGACTCTGACCTGAGTTTCAACAGTCACATTAAAACAGTTACTAAATCAGCCTACTATCCCCTAAAGAACATATCTAGGATTAAAGGACTAATGTCACAGCAGGATTTGGAAAAACTTGTCCATGCTTTTATCTTCAGTAGACTCGACTACTGCAATGGTGTCTTTACAGGCCTCACTAAAAAATCTATTAGAAAGCTGCAGCTAATTCAGAACGCCGCTGCTCGAGTCCTCACTAACACTAAGAAAGTGGATCACATCACTCCTGTTCTGAAGTCTTTACACTGGCTTCCTGTGTGTCAAAGAATAGATTTCAAAATATTGTTGCTGGTTTATAAAGCTTTGAATGGTTTAGGCCCAAAATACATGTCTGACCTACTGCTAAATTATGAACCATCCAGAACCCTCAGGTCTTCAGGGACTGGTCAGCTTTCTGTCCCCAGAGTCAGAACTAAACATGGTAAAGCAGCATTCAGTTATTATGCTCCGAATATCTGGAACAAACTCCCAGAAACCTGCAGGTCCGCTGCAACTCTTACTAGTTTTAAATCCAGGCTGAAGACTTTTCTTTTTGCCGCTGCTTTTAATTGAACTATTCACATCTTAAACTGCACTATAACTTTTAACTTTTATTCATGTATTTTTTCTTTTAATGTTTATTTTATTATCTTTCCTTTTTAATGACTGATTTTAAATGCCATTTTTAAAATGTCTTCCATTTTTGTAAAGCACTTTGAATTACCTTGTGTTGAAAGGTGCTATATAAATAAACTTGCCTTGCCTTGCCTTGCCTTGCCTTGCCTTGCCTTGCCTTGCCTAAAGAACTAAACCCTTACCTTGCTGTGATGATCAGATGAAGTAGTACTTGCAGCTGCAGCAGGTGAGTCGTGATAGTCATGAAAGGGTTAGGGTTCTTTATATACCTTGTCTAGACGGTATACACTTACACTTGATTGTCATAAGACATAACAAATTACATATTGACACAGCCTTGATTAAATATTAGACTGTTTCATCAGAAATGTTAGTGTTTTTTGGACCAGGTTATTTGTTTTGCTGTAGCTACAGTAAATTAAACTGTGCAAGGCAAGGCTATTATTTAGATAGCTTGTTTCAACACAGACAGAAACACGAGGAGCATTAAGATAAACTGCAGCAGAAACACATTATAAAATGACATTTAAATATATTTAAAAACAGTCATGAAAGAGCCAAGTGATTAAAATAAAAATATAACCAGCTTAAATAAAATAATACAACTATACAATACAAAAATAAAAATAACAATTGAGTTTAAGATATGAATAGGTTATTTCATGAAAAGCAGTGGCAAAAAATAATAGTCTTCAGTCTAGATTTTAAAAGAAGTGAGAGTTGCAGCTGACCTTATTTACAAAGCACATTTAAAAACAACCCATGCTGACCAAAGTGCTGTACAGAACAGAGCAGGTAGCCAACACAACCTTTCATAAAATAAATAATTAAAAGAAACCCTGGTGTAAACATTAATACACACAGCTCATATAAACAAATACATAGGCATAGGCACTATCAGCCAAATAGGGAGTCAAACGCTAGGGAATAAAAGTATGTTTTAGCCTGGATTTAAAGCAGTCAATGGAGGGGTCCGATCTGATAGGGAGGGGGATGCTGCTCACAGTCTTGGGGCTGCAAAAGAAAAGGCACGGTCGCCCCTGAGTTTACGTTTGGAGCGTGGGACAACCTGGAGCCCCATGTTAGCCGACCTGAGGAACCTGGAGCTAGAATACGGGATTAAGAGTTCTGCAACATAGAAAGGGCCCTGCCTATTTAGGGCTTTATACACAAACCGGAGAAGTTTAAAATCAATCCTGAAGCACACTGGCAGCCAGTGGAGAGAGGCCAGAATGGGGGTAATATCGAACTGTTTGTCAAACTTAAAGGCAGATTCAAATATCACACCAAGGTTTTTGACAAGGGCGGACAGGTTGCCAAGACTGTTGGTAAATGCTTTGAATGAGTCAGGGGGGGCGAAAAGGACGACTTGCTTTCCTTTAGCTGCAAGTAGTTTTGTGCCATCCATCCCTTAAAGGGCCCATGTCATGCTTTTCCGGTTATTAACCGTCCCCTTGTGTGTTATGAAGGTTTTTATGCATGTAAACGGTCTGCAGAGTCAAAAACCCTCAAAGTACACCCTGTAGCGAGTACAACTCTAACACAGAAAAGACCTGTCTATGCTGCCCCAAAACGCCTCGTTGGAGATTTCAAATTTTCCATTGTTTTCTTCCTGGGTTCTGTGACATGTGAATACCCAAATCAACAACAAATGACCGGATTGGCCCAAATGGACCAATCCGCGGAGCATCTCACACACCAGAATCCCTTGGCTAACTAACAGGGAGTCCCCATTGACTTGCATAGTGCTCCCTGAACGCTGGTAATAGACGAGTTCGGGTCGCGGAGAAATGCTCTCCGCAGACCCATTCTCACAGCGTTATAAACCTTTTTCTTACTCAATATCAAGCCACACTTATTGTTTTTACTTCGGCTGTGAGTGTTTGTGTGTGCTCAGGATGAGTTTCACTGTGTCTCTCTGTATCGCCGACCCGGAAACCTGTCCGCTCCTCGCAGCAGCTCGCAGCAGCTCGCAGCAGCGGCGAGCAGCAACGAGCCTCGCAACGAGCCTCGCAACGAGCCTCGCAAGTCAGCAGAGAGGAGCAGGTCATTATACACTATACTTATACAAGGCATACTCTGTGAGAGGGTGGGGCATAAAACCGTACTACAATATTTCCAATATCTTATTTTGCTGTAGGTAGGGCTGTAATTGAGTGAAAACTACCTTTTAATGGTCTTTGAGAGGAATGGAAGTTTAGATATAGGTCGGTAGTTACTAAGCAGGGTGGGGTCTAGATTGGTTGACTACTGCATGCTTGAAGCAGGTTGGAAAGGTACCAGTTGCCAGAGAGCTGTTGATAATGGAGAGGATGCTGGGGCCGGTAGTGTCAAAGACATCCTTCAGGAGGGCAGTCGGGACTTTGTCAAGAGGCCAGGTTGAAGGTTTCATGGTGGCAACAATCTTTGTAAGTGAGGGTAGTGTGATGGGTTGAAAGCAGTCTAGTTTCGAAGAACAGACTAGCGAGATGGCTAGGTCACGGCTGGGGGGGAATGATGTTCAATCTTATATCCTCAACCTTGCTATTGAAGAAATCAAACAATTATTAACACAGGAGACATGTCTAAGCTAATACCATTAACTTGATATTTTAGGAGTTGTTTGAAATTAGATTGGAAAAGTATTTTACTCTCGCAGCCTTAACTGCTCCCTTGTATTTGAGAAGATTCTTTCTTAAAATGTCAAAGGAAATTTGAAGCCTATCACACTTCGACTTCCGTTCTGATTTCTGCACTCCCTCCTTAGGGCTCTGGTAGTGTCATTAAGCCAGGGCAGACCTTTTAAGGGGGAACAAATCATTCAGAATGATCCATTCCTCTTAGCCTCCAAAAACAACTTAAACTGTGTTTAATTGAAGAAAGTTCTCACACATCAAGTCATTAACTTGTTCAATGCATTTACTCAGTGCTGAAATAGGATCATAGTCCCCTGGTGAATTGGTTATATCAATTGGTGTGTGATCTGCATAGCTATGGTAACTTATTGTATTGTTTTCCTTTATCTGAGCAAGTGGAAACATGCAGATGAGAAAGAGAAGAGGTACATGTCTGATATGCGTCATATGTATTGTAAAGCGCTTTGAGCATTCGGAAAAATAGGTAAAATAAATGTAATGAATAATTATTATTTTTATGTCATATCTTTCCACTCAGATTATGTAGTTACCTATAGAAACAAAGTTGATCATGTCCTTAAAGTAGGATTTAATTTAAAACTAGGCCATAAAGTCCCACCCAGTTTTCTAGTCGCAAATTGAGACATTGAGAAAACACTGAAATCATCTAAAAATAGTGAAAAGACTGAGTATTATGGGTATGGAGCAGGTTTAAGATTTTGGAGACCCTCTAAAATGTGGGTCATGATGTCACACACTCTAGCTCTATAGATCCTTTCCCATATGCACCTAGGAAAACCAGTCCATCTAAAAACCTTTTTAGTCCAATAAAGTTGAGAGTCTGGATTGCCATTTTAACTTTAGCCAATTTTCTCCGTTAAACTATGCCGAGTCATTATGACCTCAAAGTAAGGTGATGTTGCACAGATTTCTTATTCATTCCTTTGGGTAAAAAGTTAGATTTGTTTTTTCATTCTTAACACTTTTTTTTTTTTTTTAAAGCTTACACATGTTTAGCCTGGCACCCAATTTTAAATTGAACATGGCACTTTTTTTACAAAGCACTGCACATGGTTCTCCAAGACACATGAATCTGACATAAAGTCATTTGTTTGCCATTTTAAAACAGCCATTAAAAATGACTCACAAAAGGAAAAGGATGATTAGAAATAGGCCTGTAATTAGTTAAATCAGAGAGCAGCAAAGCTGTTTTAAAAGGCAGAATGGAAAATACCGGATTGCAGAGACATGTTGATTATTCTTGTCGCTTCTTGAGACAGACAGGCAAGCAGCAAGATTCCAAACACAAGACAGCATCATGTCACCACACCTTTATTGATTGAGATTATTTTACCTGTGCTAACATCAACACTGGTATTGTTTTACATTGTGAGTCTTTCAACCTGACACATTTAAACCTGTGACACTTCTGTCTAAACTACCACAGAGGGGGTTTTAAGAACTTTGCCAGGTGTGTAAAATAAAGTAGACAGATATTGTCATTGCGATAGCATTGCAACTGTGCAAGAAGCAGTGACAGAGCTTTACAAATGTGTATTTGAAATCAAAATAAAGGCTTAGTTTAAGGATCACCATTGCCCATGTTCCACACTTGCACCCCTCGCCAAATGTTGCATCACAGCTGGTTCGATCCCATGCAAGATTAAGTTATAATAATTTAAAACTTAAGAGTTATGTTCAATTTATCTTAATATAGAATAGAGAATAGAATAGAATAGAATCGGAGGGATGAAACCCTCTTTAATGGTTACACATGCAGAGCACACAGTGTTTTTTATACTACATAACCTCAGCTTCATGGGTCACAGCCTTGGTTGGTATTATTTGTATGTATATTATATTAACTTGGATTATAAAACAAGATACACCCAAAGCAAACAAGAGTGTTTGTTTGGCCGGGAATTCCCAGAGCTCATCTGCTGCACGCTTCATTAAAGCGTAGGCCAGGAAAAGACACAAAAAACGGCATGACATCAAATGAACTGGCTTTAAATAAACATTAATGCCACTTTGGTTTCTGTTAGTTTCCATACAACTAATGCTCCAACTATCATGCACAGAGGAACACGTTGTTATAGGACAGTTTATTTAACCATTTGTAATGTGGGTAGGGTAGCCTCAGTTCCTAAGTAAAATAGCACTCGGCTCGAGGTAAAGTCCGGTGTAATTAGTTTGACAGCATGTAAGGTCGCATTCACACCAGCCTTGTATAGTCAAGTTGAATCAAACCCTGGTGCGTTTACCCCCTTGGTGCGGTTCGTTTGGGTTAATGTGAAAGCAGTCCGAGACCTCTGAAGTGAACTAAACAACTGGACTCCTGTCCACTTAAAAGAGGTGGTATCGGACCGCTTAAAAGTGAAATCTGGAGCGGTTCATCGCTGGTGTGAATGCAGTCCGCACCAAAACACAGGAAGTGTAGTATTTACGAGTCACAAGAATGCGGATGTCTTCAAAATCCCCTTAATGTCTGACCAATTGTTGAACAGGATTTCCGTGCAGATGACTTGTGTTTAAAGTGTATAGACTGTTTGAGTTTTCCCTGTGTGAACGCAAACCGAACCTTCTGAAAAATGAAACAATGTAACAAACTGTCGTCTGGTGCTCACCAGAAAAGCGGACTATTAGGTGTGAATGCGACCTAAGT